CAGGCCATCTCCTCTAGAGAATTCCAGGTGGGGCTGAAAATCCTGAGCTTCTAATTCTAATATGGCTTTGTCTTTATGGTAACCAACCCCCTTCCAGGTGCCATTCAGGAACCCAGTAGACTCGCCTTATGAGAAGAGGAGATGCTCCTGTCACCCAGGAAATTCCAGGGGATTTAGTATCTTGTGTCAGAAATTGGGGTCAAAGACCAAATACTAGAACAAAAGATATTCCTAATGTTCTTAGCACTAAGAAGTTACAAGGGTTTTATGAGCTCTGTGTGAGGAACTGGGGGCAGAGACCAATATGTGTATTTTTTATTATTTTACACAAGCACATGAAAAAATGCTGAACACCATTAATTGCTAGGGGAGTGCAAATTAAAACCACAGTGAGATACCACCCCATATCTTTAGGATGCCCACTAACAACAACAAAAATACAAAATAACAAGTTATTGGCGGAGAAATTGGGAATTGATAGGAATGTAAAATGGTGCAGCTGCTTTTGAAAACAGTATGAAGGCTTCTTAGAAAGAAAAAATAGATCTGTGTATGATCCAGTAACCCCACTTCTGGTATTTCCCAAAAGAAATGAAAACAGGACCTGGAAGAGCAAGTTGCACACCCATGTCCCAGCAGCCTTTTTCACAATAGCCAAGAGATGGAAGCAACCTCAATGTGCCTAACAGATGAATGAGTCAAGAAAACGTGGTAGACTTATTCAGCCTCAGAAGGGACACAGCCTATGTAATAAACATGGATGAGCTTGAGGATATTATGCTAATTGAAATAAGCCAGTGACAAAGGACAAATACTGTAAGATGCCACTAATAAGGTATTTAAAGTAGTCAAACACAGAAAGTAAACAGTGGCTGCCATTCTGGGGTGAGGGGGAAAAGGGGAGCTCCTGTTCAGTAGGCATAAAAGTAGACTTGGTAAGTACATTCAGTTTTTCAAGATAAAGTTCTAGAGATCTGTTACACAGCAGTGTCCATATAGTTGACCCTACTGTATTGTACACCCGAAAATGGTAAAGATGGTACATTTTATGCTGTTTTTGCACACACACAAAATACTTATGGTTTTAAAAAACTCAGTTTCACATCTCTTTCTGTTTGCAGACCAGTCTTGGTGTTTGTGTAGGTATTCCTTCCTGGAATTTATTAGGCTCTTAGAGATGAAGAATCCAGATTTCAGAGAATGTTTTATTTTCATCTTAGCACGTAAGTATGTCTGACAAACATAAAGGTTACTTTTAGGAATGGGACAGAGTATTTGAACTTAGAATTGTTTAGGAAAATTTTAGAATGTATGTTCAGCATTGACAGAATGCTTGTACATCCATCCCATTTAAACCAAAAGCATATAAAATAAGCAGTTTTGGAGGTCACCTGAGCCACTGATTATTTCTCCATGGGCTTTCCTTGAAGTCACACTGATATAATAATGAGAAACTGGGTTTTACAAAAAATGCTGTAGGGCTGTTAACTGGTATGAATGCTCCTTGTGGATGAATTGACTTGGGATACCTTGGTCATGTTTGCTCCCAGCTTTATTTCACCCCATTGTCACGGTGCAGTGACCTGTGCAGGTTGCTGTCTATGCCTTGGCACTGCCCCTTCTGTCTGTGAAGTGGGGTGGCGACCCTCTGTCGTAAGACTGTGGGAAAAATCAGTCAGGTGACGTGTGTAACGTGCCTGTGTGTACGGAAGAAGTGGGAATTTCCCTTTCCTCCAGCCTCTGCCCTTCCCCCATGCAGTCATTACACAGGTGTCACTGCCTGCCTGATGAGGCCCAGGCTCTGTGCTAGCTCAGGTGTGTTTCTGTCCGCAGGTGAGACAGCCTTCCCCTCTAGCAGCTGAGAACATTAACTGTGCCTGAGCTGTGGCCACGCTCGGATCGGGACCCTGGGAACCAGAGGCCCTCAAAGTGGAAGGAAAGCCATAGCTCCCTTGTTGTTTGCTGACGGTGGAGGCCTTTTGTGTCTTCCTAACCACTTGTTGGAAGATGTCGATTAGAACCTGATGGACTTACCTCCTCTAGGTCTGTGCTGTGCATTATAGGAACCACTAAACATGTGTTAGCAGATAACTGAACATTTCCATAGTGGCGGAAAAGTGTTGGGCCGGGATGTTCTAGGTAGTGTGAGAGCTGGATCATTAATTTTAAGAAAAACAAGATATAAGAAGAACTCCAGATTTTTCTGCTCTATTTATGTTACTTGAATGAAGCACGTCATACTTGGAGCCCTATGACATGGCGTTAACAGTCACTGTGTTCTCCTTATTCTGAATCCAGAATACTTTTTAAATGATGTGGTTGACAGAATATAAGGAATGGCAGATAACCTTACTATTAAAAGATGGACCCTCTTTCTGTGAATTTTCCTTTTTGAAGATTTCAGGACCTGAGGCACTGCTTTTTTTTTTTTTAACAGACTGAGGAAGGATAAAAATAATATTTCAAGAATTTTTGAACAAATGTTTCTATTAGCTTGTCTTGCCATTGGGTTTCAGCCCTTGGCAAGTTCACTGTGGATTCAAAGTGACCAAAGAAATGACAGTAGAATGTTCTTGGGGTGAAAGGATTATATACCCAAGTTTATTATTTCCATGGTGGGAGATCAGTCATTAGATCCCATTTGCTCAGAGCGAGTCTGCATGCAACAAGCTGGTCTCTGCCTGCATGGCCGTGCTCTCTGCCCTCACAGCCCTCGCAGTCTCTGTCCTCAGCGCTGCCACCACTCCAGCCTCTGCTCAGCTCTCCTGCAGCTGTGCCACTGTGTCTCCCAGAACACTGGGCGGAGCTCTTTTATAGAGTCAGTAGCAATGCACTGCCCACACATGTGCAGTGAGCTAGCTGACCAGGGCCAGGTGAGAATCCTGGCCACAGGAACTTTTATTTTATCCACAAGCTACACTTCCTTTTCGGTAGGTCTCTGTCTTTTTTTTCAGGTTGCAATGCAATTTGCTATTCACTGTCTATACTGTATAGTATACTAGGTCAAGATCATTCTTAATTATATTGTAGACAAAATATTTTTGTATTTCTGTAGTCTTTTCATGGGTGTTAGTCAAAATTCCTTTTTTACTCCTTCCCTTCTCCCACACTTTAAAAAGTGAAGTATTAATTGGTATACAATAAAATACAGATTTATGTGTAGTTTGAACTGTAACAGGTATCTACCCCTGTGAGCCACTATTCCCTTTGGGCCCTTCCCAGTCACCTCCTTCTGACCCAAGCAGCCACTGTTCTGATTAATGTTAGTAGAGATTAGTTTTACCTGTTCTTGAACTTCACGTATCTGGAATCATAGCCTATGAACTGTGTAGTGTCTCTTTTTGCTCAACATCATGTTTAAATGCACCCGTTTTATTTTGAGTGTCAACACTTCATTCTTTTGTTTTTGCTGAGTGGTGTTCTGTGATGTGAATAGACTGTAATCGGTTGATTCGGTCTCCTGTTGATGAACATACTTGTTTTTTCTAGCTTTTGGCTATCATAAAGCTTCTGCAGATATTTGTGTACAAGCCTTTTTGTAAATGCATTTTACTTCTTCTTGGGATATATTTCGGAGTAAGATGGCTGGGTCACAGGGAAAGTATGAAACTGACCTTTTCCCCTGTCAGGATACTCATTCATTCCTTTAGCCAATGTTTGAGAGTTCTAACTGCTCTATGCCTTCTCCAGCAGTTGGTGTTGTCATTCTAATTTCAGCCATTCTAGTGGTTGTGAAATGATAGTTCACTGTTATTTTAATTTCCATTTCTATGTTCTGAATGCCTTTTTCATAAGCATGACAACCAAGTTGGCATAATTTTAAAACTGTACAGACGTTTCTGTACAGAAAAAAATTCCTTGCTGATACGATTAGTGGTCTAGAATTGTGATATGTCCTGAATATTGTTAGGAGGCCCTTGAAAGACCATTAGAGATAATGAATATTTGTGAATAATAATTTGCTTCTGGTAAGTAAATTATATATTAAAAATACTTATTAAAGTGGGTTTTTTTTTCCTTTACTGTCAAGAAATTTGAAACTAATCAGGCCATTTACTTATTCTCTCCCCCATCCCTTTTGAAATGCTTATTTAGGCAGATAAATTAGAGTTTATCTATCAAGCTTCCTGGTTTAGGATGGGAGAAAATTCCATCTGCTGGAGTTGACTGCCTTTTAGCATGACTTGTCCCTCTGCCATGTGTGTGTGACATCCATGACTGTGGTCCAGCTGTTTTAGGACATGTTAGTGATGCCAGATCTAATCTCTCTGCATCACACTGACCTGATCCAGTATGGTCACGCACAACTCTTAGGACTTTTTAACAGATAATAGTATCTGCAGGAGAACTTGATGTAGATGGGCTTTAAATTCCTTCCCCACAAACTTGCTACCAGGCTATAATGAAAGTTGGTCTCAGAGAAAAAAAAATTGTTTCACGCAACAGTCATTTACTAAATATTCTTAGCAAGCAGACACTAGTCAATGATGAGCTTAGCTCCTGCGTATCTAGATGTTGTGACCACTCCTTTTGTGAAAGGCTCACTTGAAGCAGACATGACAATATCCCAGTTAGGGGCTTCTATTAACCTTAAAGTTGGCACTAGGAACCAGCACCTGGCCAGGAGCCAGTTGAGGTGTCTAGACTTAAGTCTAAACCACTAATCCTAACAAGGGTCTCACTGGATTCTTAGAATCTGTGGAGGCTGTCTATAAAATATTTTAACAGTCTACAATATTGACAGCCATTCATTTCACCACCGAGAGCCCATTTCTAACAACTTTTATTCTAATTTACAAGCTACATATTTGTGGGTAAAATTGTAATATTTCCAGAATATCTCGACTGGCTTTAGGTCATTTGCATATCCTCAGGGGTGGAGAGAAGTTCATCTCCATGTCAATGGATAATTACCTGGGCAACCGAGGGCGTGTCTGAACCTGAGAGGTTAGCTGGAGGTCCTTGCTTGCTTCTGCCAGAGCGGGATAGAGAGACGGCCCCGGACTGCAGTTTGTAAGCAATAAATGGGTTTTAAACTTTATTTCTCCCCTTGACTGATTTGGGTTTTAGAAGTATTTTGTCCTGCGATTTCCTCTTCCCGGACTTACAGTATTTTACCAAAAAAAAAACCATTGTGGGCAGTATTTTAAATATAGATTCTCCAGATGTCTGGATAACAGAAAAGCTGCAGTACCATCTCTTGAATGTGACTTTACCGTTTTAATAATAGGCGTCCATCTCTGTAGAGTGAGTTTCTGATTAGAGCAGCTGCCCCCAGATAACTTCTTAGCCCCAGTGTAGCTTAAACAAAATCGTATACATTTCATTCAGCCTTGTATTTGCACTTTGAAAGTACATTTACAAAAACCCAGCCCCATTATATAAAACAAGTAAGAAGACTTCGTCTGGATGGTGTCCTCTACTCTGATCAGCTGAGTTTGTACGTACATTAGAAATCTTAGGTAGGAGTCATTAACTGAGAATTATACATCAGTGACGCAGAACATAAGGGTCTAGGACTCTTAATTTTGCTCTTTGTCCCATGACCAGAGAGGATGTGAGACGAGAGCTGGAGAGATTTTCCCCAGTGATTTAAAGTTTCAGGGCCCCTTGTTTTAAGAGAGAAGGACTGAAAGCTGACACGGCTCTCTTATCTTTGCCACCCCTTAGCTACTCCCCATAAAATGCACTGGGAGCCAAACAATGCTGAGTCTTCAGCCCAGGCAGGAAGGGTAGACTGAGATAAAGAGGGATGGTAACAGGAAACTGGCTGGAGTCATTCACTCACCCTCCCATTTCAGAGTGCTGACTACTAATGCTTTGTTTAAACTCCTGTCCTGTGCCGGCTGGAAATAGCTGTGGCTTCACTACACCTGTTAACAGGGCAGTAGGACCCTCAGGGCCGGGGAGAGATAATCTTGAAAGGTGAAAGGCTTCCTGTGCTGTCCCTCCTTTACTCCTCAGAGGAATATATCTTCAGCTATCAGCTACACCAGGATGTTCTTAAAAACCCAAGTAATAATCCCATTTTTGGGTTAACTGTGTGGTATATTACTCTTCCATTGCTTTTCTGTTTGTTTTCATACATACATATTTACCTGTAGAAATATATAGCTTTATTATGTTTTACTGTTTTCACATGCATCTGTTTTGTCTAGTTTTTAAAAAATTACTTACTTTTGTATTACTATGGAAAGATTTTTTATTCATCTGTCTTGTTAATTTGAAGTCACAGTACGACTGCCACAGTTTATATCACTATCCCCTACTGATAATGATTGTTATTTCCAGTTGGTCTCACTGCAGACAGGGCTACCTTAAACGTCCTGATAAGTGCTTCTTAGTGCTCATGGTACATTTCTCAGGGGTAAATCCCAAGACGGACTCTGAGGCTCTCCAGACGCCCACATCCACTGACGGTCCCACCTTCCGTAGCAATTTCCCCATAGCTTTTCCCAAATTGATACTAGTATTCAAAATGCTTTCCCATTGATGGCATAAAACAAAATGACCTGTTATCTTTGTTTTTCCAGTTACTACTAAGGTTAAATATTTGTTGTTTGTATTTTTCTGACTTGACTCAACATTTTATTGGACTTTTTGCAATTTTAAGATATTTTATAGGATTAAAGTATATATTCTTCATTATAAAAGTTAGAAATTTTTCTTGGTCAGTTGCTTTTTAAATGAACAAGTAACTTAGGTTTACAGGCCCATTGCCAAGAAGGTACAGAGAACTCCACATACTCTTAACCCAGTTTGTTTCCTTAAATATTACTGTCTGTATTTACCCACTCAGGCTGCCACAGTACAATGTCCCGACTGGGGGGCTTAAACAGCAAGGACTTCTTTTTCTCAGAGTTCTGGGATTTGGAGTCAAGCTGCCAGCAGGGTTGGTTTCTGGGGAAGCCTCTCCTCCTGGCTTGCTGTGTCCCCACGTGGCTCTTCCCCACGTGGGTGCAGAGGGAGAGCAAGCTCTGGTGTCTGTCCACTTATGAGGACACCGGCCCTGCTGGTTTAGGGCCCCACCCTTATGACCTCACATCTCCAAACACAGCCAAACTTGAGACACATTTAAAATATTTTTCTAGTGTATCTCTTAATTTTTTGTGTTTGTTGCCATGAAGACCATCTAAAAAATGTTTATTTCTTTGAGAAAGGTCTTCCCCCAGTTGGAGAGTGCAAGAAATAAATCATGGTTTTGTTTTTTTACATGTAAAGTCCTTGATCCTTGTGGAATTTTAGAATAAGGTTAGGAGGTATGCAAGTTTATTTTTGAGGCAAAAATGTATATATTGTGATATATAGTGTATATTATATATATGGATAGAAATTACGAATAAAATAATTGTTGGGAAAGAATTGCTACTGTATTGCTTCTTCATTTTAAGGGAGAGTCCTTACAAATTTATTGACAGATTAACACGTTTCTGTAGGAAACTTGGAAGAATAATAATCACTATATATGACAAAACTGGGACCATCCTCATACTATGTCTTTAATTTTTTGCCTCACTGGAGACCAACATAGGAACACAGGTGTAGAAAATAACTGGGTCTTTAGTATTGTGTCGGTGTTTTCCAGCCATTCCAATAATTTCCTGCGCTGAAGCAGGAAGCTGTTAAAGGAGTGAAGGGCCGTAGGCGTGCCTCTAACTCGTGAAGTTCTAACGGAGACGCCGCACTCGCCGCGAGCCCGCCCCGCCTACCCCGTCCGCAGCGCCCCTAGCGGCGGGCGGGCCGCGGGCTGTTGCGCGTAGGGTCCGCGAGGAGCTGGTCTCCTCCTGCAGGGGCCTGAGTCGTTGCCGGTTTTCTCTAGCCCCGCGCTGCGAGCCTCGCATCCCAGCCGGAGCGGGGTTGGGGCGGAGCAGCCGGTGACCGAGGCTCCCACGCCGCCGCCGCCTTCGGGGCCGCTCGGGCAGCTTTGAGCTTCCGGGGGTGGCGCGCTGCCCGGCGCTAGGGTGGGGGCCGAGGGGCGTCGCTGGGCGGCCGGAGGTCCGGGTGTGGCCGCCTCTCCCCGCGGCGGTGGCCCCCAGACCGGCCTGTCGTCAGATGCTCTGGAGTCATGGGCCGGCCGCGCGCCCGCGCCCCCCTGGTGGCCGAGGTGCTCGGAGGTGAGTCTGGGGGTCTGCGGGCGCCCCGGAAGCCGCGCCTCACGGGGTCCGGGCCCGCCGCGGTCGTGGGGAGGGACCAGCCCGTCCGGCGCCCGGGCGCTCTGGGCTGGGCGGCCCGCGGGGGAGTTCGCAGGAAGTACATGCAGTGGTGCGTGAGTTGCATCGCAGACAGAAATTGTTTAAACTACGTCTGGGGAAAGGGTGCCAGCTGGCCGCCTTTCTTTCTTGCTGTCCTAAAGGCTGTGCTTCGCCACAGTTGTAGTGACAGTCCCGCGCGCATCACCGGGGCTCTGCTGCCCGGGACGGCGAGGACCTGGCTTCCCCGGCGGTTTAAGCAACTTCGAGAGGGGCGGGGCGGGGCGGTAGGGCGGAGCCTCTGATCCCGGGACTGGTTACGGGGCTTGCCGAACCTCAGCATTTACGCAACACAAGGTCATACCACACTCACGGTGTGGAAACCTCTCTTCTGTTGTGGCAATTTGTCTAATTGTCAAAGTCACTGCAGAAGTAGTGACTCCTAACAGCAGGAGTTTGTTTTATTTGTATTTAACAGCCGTAAATGTTATTTTTGAAGCAATTTTGATAGCGTTGTTTCCCTATTTTTTTTTTAAAGTTTCTTACTAAAGTGACTTTTTAGGATGTTTTGAAAACAGTAAAACAGAGCAAAAGTCATCTAGACTGATAGCTAGTTATCAAATATATGCTTTCATTTGCTGAGATTTCTTAATCCGGGGGAACTAATCCTCCAGGGATCAGAACATATTGCTATGTGGAAAGGCACTTACCGCTTGAGATTTATGGTTAAAGGCACTTTCTCCTATAAAAAAATTGCGTGTTTACTCTTACTGATCAAATAGCCCATTTTGAAATTATTTATTGGCACCCTTACCATCTGAAACATGCATAGAAAAAATAAACAATTGTATCTGAAAAGAGTTGCATCGTGATATATGAAATGTTTCTTAATAACTTGAAGGAAGGAACATTGCAATTTTTCCATTTCAGATCGCCTTTGTTTTGCCATTCTCTACAGCAGACCAAAGAGTTCATCAAATGTACATTATTTCAGCATAGATAATGAACTTGAATATGAGAAGTAAGTATTGCTTTTGAAAAGATTGCTAGTAACTTTTTTTTTTTTTGAAGAATCTGGAGGTATGTTTTAAAATACTGTAGCCTTGAAAAATTACAAATCTGTTGATTGGTAATTGCAAGATGCTTTTTAAATCCTTGGTAATAAAATAGATCCTTAGGGGAAAAATTCAAAATGAAAGAACCTTTCTAAATTTAACAATTTACATTTGAAACAGTTTACAATACAATGAGATATAAACTATTGTACTAAAAGTAAGATGTCTTTTGCTAGTGTAAAGATGTATGTAGAATGCCTTTTAATTCAGCAGGTATTTTCATATGTTTGAGGTTAGACTTAGGCATTGTAGCACTTGTCCCATTTTTTGTAGGGATTGTTTACTGGAATATTTCTTCCAGTACTAAAGCAATACCTCTAAGGTGTACGATTGGTAACAATTTGTGTATGCTTTCTTGTACTAATTTGATCTTGTAATTCCAAAAAGGCATTTGTATGTGGAGCATGTAAAATACACATGTTTTCATTTTTCAAGCTTCTACGCAGATTTTGGACCACTCAATCTGGCAATGGTCTACAGATATTGTTGCAAGATAAATAAGAAATTGAAGGTAAAGTCTTTTTAAAGATTTGACTTAAGTAATCATTGTTAGTCTGATCTTGGGGAGGGTAAAGTAAGGAAAACATATCTTGTTTTTCAAAGGAGATTGTCATGTTTTTCACTGCAGTGATGTTTGGGACGTACACATGCTTTTTTGTTTCATAAAGTCTGGGTGTTTGTATGTTTGTTTTCCAGAGTTTTGACTACATGATATAAGTTAGGATCATTTGGTTCTGGTTTGAATTAGAGATGCTCAGATACTTGCAAAGCCAAAGTGAAAACTGGTTGATAAAGTGAACCTCTTAATTGTGTGACCTAACAGAAGCTTCCCATGTTTTCTTTAGTCATGGTGCTTTCTGCCTTCACTCTGATAGGAGTGCCAGCTAAGGAATCCAGAGAAGGTGGCTCCTCCTACTCTCTCTCATTCCATCTTTAATCTTCCGTGATGTGGTACCACTTGTGGCTCTTCCCTTTGACCTTTTACACATACAATGGAGGAGTAGGGAAAGCAAAGGCAAACAGCATATCTTCAAGGCTGTATCACTGAAAAGTGCAAAAATACACTCTTATTAGTTTGAACTTAAACCCCATTCCTTTATTTTAAAAAACTTTGAATTACTGGTTATGCATAGTAAGAAGTGTTTATATTAACTGTTAGCAATTCGAGTTAGTCACTATAAATTCTGAAGTAGAAAATACTTGATTTGGGTGCAGGTCCTTGTTAAAAAGAAGTTAATTAATTTGATTACATACCATACTACTTCATGGAAGAAAAAGTTCATTTTCAGTTAAAAAATTAAATTATATTAAAAATTCGTGGGTAAGGCAGATATTTTTTCCTTGGACATTAGACCTAAACTTCCATATTGTATGTTAGAAGCACCTGCCACATGAGTTACTAATCTTAAAATGGCAGTTGTAGCATAGCCTTTCCTTCTGTATTATATATGTGCTCACTACAAATTTATGTAGAGATGGAGATTATTCTTTCTGGACTTGAATAGGAATATAAGCATTTGTGGCCATGTGTATTTATGCTATCCCACCCACCCGCTTTTTTTTTTCCAGTTGCCAGTGACAGGTCTTTTTTTCATAGAGGGCTAGGAAGCTAAAACTAATTTCCTCTTCCCTTGCTTCTTTTGCTTTAATTTTGGAAGTTTTCCTCCTACTCTGCCATCTATGGGCTTTTATCCCTTGGGGCAACCAAGAATGTATTGGTCCTTTTTGTTTTTATTTTAAACTTTATCGTGCCAAGCACCGACCATCTAACCTGACTGATACATTGCTGCTTATTCAAGTAATAGTGAGGAATTGTGCGGGCAGTGAGTCTTGCATCTGTATCACTTGGTGGCTGGTTGGGTTTTGTTTTTGCTTTTAAAAATCAACTGGGATATCTCACTCCATGTAAACGCTAAAGGAAAGTATGAACACATTCATCATTGACTCACAGAAGCCAAAGAATATGGGCTTAATGCCTGAATATATCCTGTTCTTATTTAAGTTACCTGAATTCAATTCTACTCCCGTTAATGAAGTATGGGTGAGGAAGAACTAAATAATTATGTATTTCTTTGAGTTTTAAATTCCATATCTTTTTATTTTTAACTTTTTTGGGAAATGTAATGTTTGTACAGAAACATGTATAGATCATGAGTATACAGCCTAGTGGATTTTCACAGAGTATACATGGGTAATCATCAAATTAAGACCAGAACATGGTCTCTGAGCTATTTCTGTTCCACTCTCACCCCATCCCCCTACCCCATTCACTATCCCGATTTCTAGCAAAGAGTTATTTCTGCCTGTTTTTTTAATACCCTTTTATTTCAATTTAAAGGTTTGGGGAAAAGATTTTTTAAAAAATTAGTGGGAAAAGGAAAGTGAAGGTTTCCCCTCCCTTTTCCAGCCACTTACATATTCTTTCAGGGATAGTCTTAGTTTAAAGATATTATCTGTTCTCTTTAACTGTACTCATCCTAATCTAATAATATATTTTTAGGGAAAGATACATGATATTTTTGGGGATCAAAGTTAATCTCAAGGTCTTGCTAATACAAATGCATATAAATGATGAGACTTGGAATTGATCTTCACAAAATAAAGTTTAGAAAACCTGAAATAGAAGAAAATGCTAACAGCTCTTTGTGTTTATGCAGTCCATTACTATGATAAGGAAGAAGATTATTCACTTTACTGGTTCTGATCAGAGAAAACAGGCAAATGCCGCTTTCCTTGTCGGATGTTATATGGTAAGTGTTTAACTATTTTCTTAACATATTCGTGAAAATGTGCACATGTGGTTGAAATTGTGAAATTTTTTTTCTAAGATAATGTCTTAATTTCTTTCTGGAAAGAACATTTTTCTTTTCAAAATTGACTAGCTGGGGAAGGTTGTGCACAATTGGGGAAAAAGGGATATATGGGAAATCTCTGTACCTTCTAATCAGTTTTGCATTTCTGAACCAAAAAGTGCACCAGAAAATGTCTGTTTAAAAGAAAATTGACCAACCATTGTGATACGTGTTATGGCACTTAAGGTTAGAAAATAATGCCCCCAAAGCTGTGTTTTTATTAACTCATGGTCCATTTACTGAGGTTCTGAAAGTGGAGGCAGGACCAATAATTGATTTTTTTAGACAAATATCAAAGTGCATCACATGAAATAACAGTGCTTTGTAATTTAACTACAGCAATTTTTTCCTAAGATGGGCTTCTAAGGTTATCTCCATCCTCATTAGATCATCTTGCAGGAGGATATGGCTTGTCAGTATTGTAGGAAAAGTGGTGGCACCCTGCGTAGATTATAAGACAATGTGGAGTGGTCTATCTGGTCATTGAAAAATGTGCTTTGGGATGGCCAGTACGTACACAAGTTACAAATTTCATTTATTTGTAAAAATCATGGAAAACCCTTGTTTTTTTTAGAGTCAAGTTTTATCCAGTACTTAGTGCATTCATCCGCAGGAGCACCTTTGCAGGAATTTCTCCTGAGGGAGCTAAGAGCTCCTCCAGAGCAGGGTCCCTAACCTTTGTGGTGGTGTGGATGCTAGCTCCTCTGATTGGTGGGTGGGGTGCCCGCTCCTCTAGTCCAGGCGAGTGAGTGGATGTTTCTTCTGCTCCCACCCACCTCGGTGGATTGTTTTTGGAGTTCTTTTAAGTTCTTTCTTCCCCCAGCTTGCTCTGGTTGCTTATGGCATGCCTTTCACCCTTTTAAAATAATTTTCTGGTATATAGTATGATAACCTGGAACTTAGAATAATTAGGCCAAAATTTGGTGGTTCTAACTGAAATTGCATTCCCAAATTTAATAATTTCCTCTTCTATGTTTAAGGTATTTCATTAACAATAATGATTAAGGCCTTTTTTGGTCTTGTTTTCCTATTTGTGCTCACAAAAGCAGTTGAGAGAAATGTTTCTGAGATAACTTAAGTTTTATCATCATCTCTGAATGGATGAATGGCTTATACATGATGTCTGTAATAAAATTTGATCCCTTAAGCTTACCCGGATTCACTATTTTTCTTTGTTGTCTGTTTTTTATTTTTATTCCCATCTTCCTTGGTGTTTATTGTGCATAGCAGCAAAAATCCTTGGGGAGAAAAAGAGCCTGTGCGGGTCCCGAGAAAGAGTATGTAGAGGTGGCTGCTTATCTGGCCCATTATGTGACTAGTCACAAGGGAGAGGAACCCCATGGATTAGAGAAAATCATGACAGCTTTATGGAAAAGGGGTGCAGCCAGAATTCTTGGGGTTCATAAAGGGAACCTTGAAGAAGTGGCCTTTGGTGTGACATTTGAAAGTCTTCACACTGCCTAGATCTGGGTGGCTCTTGCAGTCCATCTGACTGTGCTCCACAGTAGAATGCACACAGTCAGATGAGATGTCCCTAGATGGGGGGAGAGGGGTTTGAGGAGCCAGACATAGTGAGTCAGTGTGCGAAGTGACTTCACCTCAGAGGGTGGCTGCGGGCATGGTGGGAAATGGGTTATCTTAAAAACAAAAACAAAACACTTGATAATTTCATAAAGAAGGAACCTCTCTTTTTAAATCTTGTTGCTGTTTTTTACTGCTAGTTGAATAAAAATAACCCCTTGGCATATTGATTGAGAATTTGTTGTAATATTTGTTCTAAGTTTGGTGTTGGCCTTTTGACTTTGTTTATAGTTGTGTTCTGTCATGCAAAAGTTAATTTTTCTATATTTAATATAGTTTAGAAACCCTTTCAGGATTTTATGCTCTCGTGTGAGCCCTGATTTGATTGGTTAGGGAAATGCCAGGGAAGCAGTTTGGACATTGACTTGAATTTGTACCTCTCTGCTCTCTTGGAAGCCAGCTTGGCAGGAGGCTGACAGTTCTTGGCTGTGGCAAAAGTCTTTGCAGCCATAACTGGCAGGCTAGTGTAGGAGCTGTAATGAGCTAGGTGGCGAAACAGGAGAAACACTTCTAAGAACAGGAAATTTATTAATAGTAGCAAAGGAGTATCAAGATATAATAGGGATTCCTCAAAAGATTAAAATTAAAGTTCGTAAGCAAAGGTTTGATCTGGTTGCAGTCTGTTGAATCCTCTGATTAAAAATTTGTGGAGATGAGTAAGAATTCCCTAAGAACTGATTTTCAGCCGTAATACTTTTTCTGGAGTTGTTGAAGGATTTTGGAAGTAGTGTGATTTTTAGTGACTGACGTGGAGGGCGGTGTGGTAATGTTAAAACAGAAACAACGAATCTGGGGAAAAGCTGTCAGGAAGGAAGGATTCCAAGTGGACTGACCCCATGTATCTCTCTGTCCTTTTAAACTCTGGGCCTCTGACAGCAGTCAGCTCCCGTCCTTGTGTGCTCACATGGGGTGGGGAGGGGGTGTGAGACTAAAGGATTAGTATTTTGGTTTATTTTTTATTTTAAAAACAGAAGAGGTTACCCCTTGTAAATACTGACAAGCACTCAGGTCCTTAAAGCAGGTTTACATGCACAGGCCAGCAAAGTTCCATTTGCCAGGTGGCCAGGTGCCACGTGTGGTCTAAGAAGAGAGAAGACCTGCTGACTGTCTGTTGGTCCTTAGCCTGTTTTCCGAGTATTACACATTAGGTTTACCACCAGCTCTCAGCAGTGGGAGAACCTTTAGTAACAAATTAGGGTGAAGCTGTAAATCTTTCGTACCACTCACATAGAAGAGTTGCAGAACATACAAGGTGACTGAGTTTTTCTTTTACAAAAATATTAGTGAACCCTGTCATTTTATGAAATGATAAGCTTGCTACCCTGCTGTAGTAAGTCGGTGGGTGTTAAATTGGCCAGATTTGGGGGCAGTGGTACTTAACCTGTCATTGCAATAAAGGTGAAATATTAAGTGGAAAAGTAGATGCTTTTTCAAAATAAATTCAAGACTAAGAGAGTTTTTGTTTTCATTAACATATCATTGATAAACATTCTTCTGAAGGTTTCACAAGAAAAACAATGTAGTTATTACATTCACCCTTTTTATCGAGTTCAGCCCATTCCCCATTGCAGTCACTGTCCATCAGTATAGTAAGATGCCACAGAGTCCCTATGTGTCTTCTCTGAGCTACACTGTCTTCTCTGTGACCCCACATACACCATGTACACCAATCATGATACCCCACAATCCCCTTCTCTCTCCCTCCCCACCCGCCCTCCCACACCCCTCCCCTTTGGTAACCACTAGTCCCTTTTTGGAGTCTGTGAGTCTGCTGCTATTTTGTTCCTTTAGTTTTGCTTCATTGTTAAACTTCACAAATGAGGGAAATCATTTGATACTTGTCTTTCTCTGCCTGACTTATTTCACTGAGCATAATACCCTCTAGCTCCATCCATGTTGTTGCAAATGGTAGGATTTGTTTCTTTCTTATGGCTGAATAGCATTCCATTGTGTATATATACCACATCTTTATCCATTCACCTACCGATGTACACCTAGGTTGCTTCCATATCTTGGCTATTGTAAATAGCTCTGCAATAAACATAGGGGTACATATGTCTTTTTGAATCTGAGAAGTTGTTTTCTTTGGGTAACTTCCTAGGAGTGGA